CCCCACCTAACCCTTTAAATCTCAATCGTTGATCATTTAGATCAACGACCACCGGCTGCCCTTTCCTAATTAAACCCAAAAGACCCCCCAAACCTAATTCATTATTCACAATCCGCCGCCCTTGAACTCTTCTTCTCTCCTAAATCCTCTCTACAACAACCCCAAACCCTAGCCGCCTCCACCCTAATCCACCCTAATCCACCCTAATCCATGGCCTTTCGAGGTCATCGGAGACCTGTACCAGCCTTCCATGGCTTTTACGTGTTTAGTTTTGTGGTCTCATGACCAAACTCTAAAGGGGCTTGGTCTAGTCTTTGCTCGATGACCTTTCTCCGGCCAGCTGTGGCCATTCGAGTCAGACCTTTGACTCTCCTGTTTAGATCGGTAACTTTCGAAGCCTCTCTCACCTTTTCTGGGTTCTTCTGAAACCCTAATCTCTAAGACCTTTTCGACTTCTTTCAGGTTTACCTTAGATCCATGCTTGCTATGAGTTTTTAAACGCATTCTCGAAGCTTCTTTAATTTTGCTTTCAAAAAAGACTCTTCATCTTCTCCGATTAGGGTTTTCTTCTAAATTATTTGAAACATCTTCTTTGATCTTAACGTGTTTCTGATTTTATTATGTTTTGCTCTGTCGTTCTCCTATATGATTAGCATGTTAAAAACCCTAATTTCTTTTGGGCTAATTCGAGTTTCTGAGACTATTTGTTAAGTATTTGTTTGATTTACTTGTTTACCATCTTCGAACTCAATTGATGTTGAAAACCCTAATTTCTTTGGGTTCATTCGAGTTTCTGAAACTGTTTGCTAGTATTTGTTCGATTTATTTATTGTTAAGCTTGCTACTGTTAAAGAAAAACCTATGTCTTTGGGTTTGAAACTGCTCGTTTGAATACTTGACTTGATTTGAAGTTCCTTTGTTTCAGCATCTCTTTTCTTTATGTGATTCCTCTGATTCTGGGTTCTAACTATCTTTGAAACTCGACTATGCTTGGAAACCCTAACTTTTCAGAAGGGTTTTCTCATCTTTTACTGTGAGACCCTTTGCATGCTTATGATACTCTATTTTTCTTTACTACTGATTCAATGAGACCTGACCTACTTGACTATCATGCTTCGAATGATTGCTATCTACTGACTTTGCGCTACTATTGCATGCTGTTTCTTTTGCCAATTGTTTGGCCTTGCATGTCTATTATTTGCGCACTCTATTTATATGCTGAGGTTCCTTCTTTGATTGATTCTCAATCTTGGGACAGATTTCAAAACTTCTCTTTTATGAACTCTAATTTCACTCGCCTGTTGAAGTAATTGATCCCTTTCCTTATTATTGCCTTGCTGAATCTTTTCCCCAAAACAAGTGTATCTCTGTACTTAGACTCGATTGCTTACTTAATGTTCTACTACTTCTTTTTATGGTAATAATCAGTCTGCCTACAAACTGATTTTCTTTCCTTCTTTTGAACCTGTTAGCCCCGTTAAACAAGTGATTCCTCAATTAGAGGGGAATCACTTGGTTGATTGATTCTAACTATTGATTGTTTCTATATTTGCATGGAACTTTACTTATTGTCTTATTTCTCACATGTTTTCAAAATCTATAAATACCCTGCACCCCTCTTCTTTCAAAGACACGAACACAAGGAATAAAATACTTGAGTTCAGACACACACTCCATTAAAATCTCTCTCTTTTCTCTGTTGCTACTTGTTTTGCTGCCTTACCTAGCCGGCTGAAAGCCAAGGCTAGGATGTGGGAAGCTTGCTTACTTTTTCTCTGCATTTGCATCTTTACTGGTATGTTCTAACTAATTTTCAGCATCAACAACAACATGTTTCTTTACTATTTCCTTCACCCTTGTTTGTTTCCTGTTTGTGTTGAGGCAAGTCCCATTATTATGGCTGTAATCTGCCCCTTTCTATTCTGAATTAATGCTCTCTTATGAATTCTGTCAGTCATTTATTATGGTTTATGAATCCTAAACCCCCATCCCCTATGTGTTTGATATCTTTGGTTGGTTTGGGGCATGACAACATTGGACATTGCTGTGCATGACCCAAACCTGATCCCCTAGGATCATAACCTCCCTATCCCCTCTATATGTTGTGTGTTCTGGTTTGTTTATAGGCATGCTAGCACCATCAATTGCTGTGCATGACCAAAACTTATCCCTGCCTAAGGATATATGCTTTTTGCAATGTATTCCCAGTCCCCCTGACACCTGTGTATGAAAATTATTAACTCTATGCTTTACTACTACTGTTTTCCCATCACCCTTTATCCCTCTCTTTTACCCCTTCAGTTTTTAAATCTCCATTCCTGCACTTCCACCATATTCTTAGACTTAAGTTCTGCCCCTCTTGTGTGAGCCTTGCCTTGGGACCCATGAGCTCCCTCTGAACTTGGACACACAAGGGCTGGCCCTTCCACACTGCACTCATCTCTATCTGGTTCTGTGAACCTGGGTGTAAGCACTGCCCGAGGTCCCTTGAGACCCTTAGGGAACTCTGACACACCCAGGTTTGAGAAAGGCTTTGAACATGGCATTTTGAGGTGGTTTATTCCCTAACTCAAAGAGGAAGTCAGGAATCAAGCTTCCTCTGGTTGTAACTTCTTTTGTTTTTTTTTTAGTTTTGATGTAATTCATTATTTCTGGTTTGTAATGATTTGTAATAAATACTCGGGGTTGGCTAGTGAAAAAGGGATGGGTAATTATGCATGCTCAAGGGTAGAAAACATGCCTATAGGATTTGCGATTCAATTCTGCAATTTAGAAAGCATGCCTATAGGACTGGTTTTAAATCCTGCGTGTTCAATTCTGCATTTAGACACCATGTCTATAGGATTTATTTCAAATTCTGCACGTTCAACTTCACATCTAGATAACCTACTTATAGGACTTTATTTAAAATTATGCACGTTTGTTACCACTTAGATATCATGCTTTAGGATCTAAACGCCTATAAGAAGATCTCATGTTCGTAATGTTAAAATCAGTATAATGTGTAGAAATCATGCCTATAGGAATTTCCAAGTAAAATCCTGCCTGTTTCCATTTCAATATTAGATATTATGCCTACAGGGGTTAAAATCAACATTTAGATAGCTTGCCTATAGGAGTTAAAATCATTCAACTAGATATCATGCCTATAGGGGTTAAAATCAGTAATGTTAGATATCATGTCCATAGGGATTAAAATCAGCGATAGTGGACGCCATCGTCTGCAGAATCTGAAACTAGTCTAATTTTAAATCAGTCTATTCTGAACCAGCTTTAGTAACTTAATCTCCTTATTTAACGCAGTTTAGCAAATATGCCTATAGGATCTCAAACCGTTCGCTTTTTAGTTGTTATTACTTTGCTATACTCTGAATCAATAATAGATACCATGTTCATAAGAGCTCATCTAAACACTTAGGCAAACCTTAGGTAATAACAATAAATGAGACTGAGCTCGTTTCTGTTAACCAGTAATTGCTACAACCAGCAGGCAGGCCTGATTCAGACTTCTTGTCTGAGTTACGTAATAAATTGGTCTGCTTCAACAACTCAAGATTCCCCTGCCTTAGTATTTTTGATTCAAACCTTAATTGTTGTTTGAGTCATGCTATTTGATTGCTTTGTTTGAGGAGGTATATATGAGCCTTCAGTGTTTTATGTGCTTCCCCTTTAATGAGCAGTCCGATGTATTTTGTATGTCGCCTTAGATTTTTCATCTTTAAAACCTCAAAGTCAGCCTAATATCCCTCCCCTTTAGGAATAGTAGTCCTAAGTGCCTCCAGGACTGATAGGAACGGGACGGGTAATAGCATGCAATAGTGGGCAAGACCAATCCGCGCTTTAGTACCTTAACGGGGTGGGAAGGGTAGATATGGATATGATGACCGATGCACTAATACCACGTGTAGCCCCTCTTTTGAGGAGTGATTACCGGGTATTGCATTGATGTGATCCATATTATAAATAAACCTAGGACCCCCTTCCCTCTCTTACCTTTTCTATTAAAGCATTATAACTTCTTGTCAAAAATCAGCCTTTTAATGATTGCTCTTTCAAACTTTGCTTTACTTTCAAACATTTGAGTATTAAAATCCCCTCTTATTTGATCCTTATCTGTTTACATGTTAATTTTACCAAATTCACAAAGAACCATCTGGCCGGGAACCACACTAGTGGATCCTGAGGGGTGCCTAACACCTTCCCCTTAGGATAATTTCAAGCCCTTACCCTATCTCTGGTTATCAAGAAGACTTACAAGTGAACCTTGTAGGTGTCCTAATGCACCATCAATCATTAGGTGGCAACTCTTCAAATGCAAAACCCAGTTCCCAAAAGGAACGAGTTGCCCTATACCCAAAATGTCATAAACCCGATTCTCCCGACGCAATGAAGGAAAAAAGGGGGCGCGACACTTTTGACACAGTTGTTGGCCTTAAAACTGGATCTGGATCATGATCTGGAGAGTCAAAGTTTGGAAATTCACTGCTGGACTGAGTGTTGGACTGAGTGTAAATACTTTTTGTAGGCATAAACACAAAGTTTGAGCCTTCACTTTGTTGATTAGACTGGGTAGGCTGACTGGCTTCAGGTGCAGTTAGCTCTATGTCCTCTTCATCAACCAATGTTGTGTTGTTTGTTCTTGCCATCTTTTCCATGCGTGGCTATTGTGTAAAGATAAAAAAATAAGTTAAATACTACTAATAGCACACTAATAAGTTAGAAAAAGTAACCATTACCTTCTCACAACCTCTAGCTTTATGATTAGGCTCTCCACAATTACTGCATGTCATGACTCTCCCTTTCCTGGAAATTCCCCACTCACCTTGCCTTTTGATAGCCTCATATTTTTCTCTTTTTCTCTTAATTTTAGGTCTCCCAGCCATCTTGACTAACTCAGGTGGTTCCATTGCTTGGGATGGGTCCACTTTCCAGAAGTTCTCACCTTTTACTGGTTGCAACTTGTGTTTGTAGGTTAGCAGGTATGCTTCCTTGCTATACCACTAGTTGAATTCCTTGAAAGGGTCCAACTTCATATGTTGTATGGACTTAATGGCATGGGGGCATGGAATTCCAGTAAGATCCCAAATCCTACATGTGCATTTCTTCAAAGTCATGTTAACAGTATGCCTGTCCAGCCCTTCTGAAACTTCATAGCCTAGGTCACCATTGGAATGAACATGACACTTATTAGCTATCTTCAAGTACTTCTTGTACAATTCCAGGCTATGTGGGCTGAGTTCATTTGTCCATGACCTCACTGCTTCCTCTCTTTCCCTCATTTGGTTCATCACCTTAACTCTAATTTCCTCAAGCATTTTGATGATGGGTTTGTGCCTAGCTTCAAGAAACCATGCATTGACAGATTCAGTGAAGTTGTTCTCTACCTTTTGGTTCTTGCACACAGTATCTAAATAAGCTTTACACCAAGCTTGAGGAGGATACTTCATCAATTCTTCTGCAGCTTGCTTATCAAGTTCACCAATGGACCTCAACTGGTCCTTGAAATCTTCTTCATAAGAACTCCAGGCACTCCACCATAATAACTTCTTGAACTCTGTTGTTCTCCATTTTTTGCACCAATTTGACTCAATGTGCCTAACACAGAATCTATGATGCGAATTAGGAAGCACATTGTTCACAACCTCAATTAATCCCTATATAAGACAAAAATACAAAAGGAAGCTGGATAAATAGAAGCTGATTAAAAAGACAAAAGGAAAAAAAAAACAGAAGCTGTTTAGGCATAAATATCATACCTTTTGCATTTCTGACATGAAGGTGATGCCTTCACCCTCCTTGAGATCTAGTGACCTTTGAAGCAATTCCAAGAACCAAGTCCATGTCCTTTTTGTTTCTTTATCCACTACTGCCCAAGCTATAGGATATGTTTGGTTATTACTGTCCAGTCCAACAGCAACTAACAACTGTCCTCTAGCTTTTTCTTTTAAAAATGTCCCATCTAAGCCAACAAATGGTCTCAAACCTAAATTAAAGCCCATCTTGAGAGCTTGAAGGCGAATATACATTCTCAGAAACTTTCTTTTACCTCCAGCAAGTGCATCCTTTGTCAAGTTAATGACAATATCACTCCTTGGGTTAGTGTCCCTTAGCTCATTGGCACAAGCCTCAAGTTTCTTATAGTCATCTGTAAAACTACCTTCCAACTTCTCCAAAATCAGTCTTTTAGCCCTCTTGCACTTTCCATAGCTAACATTTACATTAAACAACTGTTTCAGATCTGCTCTCATCTCCTTAATCTTATACTTAGGATTTCTTGCACCTTCTTCTTGAAGTAATTTGCTATTGTTTGATAGTCAACCCTAGTGTTCTCAAATGCTTCTTCACATGTATGCTCATCTCTTAATGTCTTTATCCTAACTCCAGGAAGGTTCCCATCCCTAGAAATCAGAACAACAAAAGCGCAGTCACCAACACATGTATACCTTAACCTTTTTTTATCACTTTTATCCACTTGTAAGTCCTTTTTGTTTGCCAAAGAATAAAAATTAATGCATTTTATAGCTTCAGGTATGTCTTTGAAGCTCATACCCTTGTATAATTCCTTATAATTTTCGCCCGCCTCAATTTCAGTATTTCTTTGCTTAGCAATTTTTTGTAATCCATCGGAATCATAATCAACCTCATCATCATCACTATAATTATCACCCTCACTCTCATTATCAGATTCACTACAGTCAGTACCATAATCAGTTATTACTGGATGTGAGTCAGTGTGATGAACAATATTAGGCACATTAATAGACTCTTCATACTCATCAACAACATAGAAGTGGAGTGTCTTAAATACATCAAAAATTAAACTCAGTAAATGCCTCATCCCATCATCATTTTCTACCTCATAGTAATTACCAAAAGGGCCATTTACAATAAGTTGTTTCACACCTACATGCCCTAACTCACTGGTGTGTGTTGTTTCTAGAAGCTTGTAAGAAATAAGTTCGTAATCATACCCTCTCCAGATGTGGACCAATTTCTTTGAATACAAGACTTGGGGTGTTGTGATCCAATCCCCACCATAATGCAACATTATGTCAACCAAAGGCATCCTTAATATTCTGGAATGCAATTAAAAATAATAAGTAAACTGACAAAGATAATTAATAAATAAATTAAATAAACAATAAATAAACCTACACATGAGCTAATAAAAGAACCTAAGGAAAATAATTAACAAATTAGAAGAAGAAGCAGAATAAAAAAGATAGTGACTTGGTGGACCACATACAACAAACTTAGCCAGAAACATTAACAATAGTAAAGGGAATAGAAAATAGGGGACCAGAAACATTAACAATAATAAAGGGAACAGAAAATAGGGGACTAGAAACATTAACAATAGTAAAGTCCCACTAACAATAAAATACTCAGATTCTTGGTTACTTAGGAACAACATACCACCATATATAGACAAAACGAATACTTAAGTCACAAATTGTAATCCCACATTCTCAGCCAGAAAAAGGCACAAATCACACTCGGAGCCACCAATAGAAGAAGAATCTCCACAATAATGCCGACCGTAAAAACCTTTACAGAAAATAGCTTAAATAATACATGCAGACACATAACAACATAGATATTGTCGATTTGAGCTCATGTCATAAACTGTAAAACCATAAAACGATTAAAAACCAAAGAATCAACTAGACCGAAAATATTTTAAAAAAAATACCAATGTCTTTCTTAAACAAACACAAAATGGAAGATAAACTTACCTTTTAAAGAAGAACAACCATAAATCGGAAGCATCAATGTATTTCTGAAGGCTATACGACTTAGGGTTTTGGAGTTAATTTCTTCTTCTCTGAGTTCTGCAGATCGACTTAGGTTTGAGGGGGGTGTCTAAGAGGATTTAAGTTAGCGGGGCTGGGGTGGGTCGGGTTAAAAGGGTTGGATCGGCTAGTTTTTAATTAGATATGGGACGGATGATTTTAGACCAATAGGATATTTACACGTGTATTAATTAATATCCTACCAATAAACTAACGGCTGAGAGGCATTTTAAAAACTTAAGTAAAACGGCAGGGACTTTAATAACACAAAAGTGAAACGGGGGTAGATATATCTTATTTTTAATAGTAGAGAGGCATTTTTGGCCCCTTAACCGTTCAATAATTTCAAGGAACTGATTTTTACTTTTATTTTCTTTTGCAAAAAAAAAAAAAAAAAAAAAAAAAAAAAAAAAAAAAAAAAAAAAAAGAGCAAGTTTTAATGAAAGCCTCTAGTATTAGAGAATAAGACAATTTCTACTTTATCCATTAAAGATTTCATTCAGCTATTTTCATGGTTCTCTCATATTAAATAATATAAATCAACTTATATAATATTGTGACTTCAAATCACTGTTTATTTGAGTTTCCTTATTCCTCTACGAAGAAAAATTAATTAAAATTTTATTATTAAAGTTTAAGATATTATTTATTACAAACCCAAAGGAACTAATGCGTTGCTTTACCTTTTTATGCAAAAACAATGTTGAAATTTGTGCTTCATAACTAAAATGAAAATACTCTTTTTTTGGTTGAAAAGAAAGTACTCTTTCTACAATATGAAAATAAAGTACTCATTTTGTTAAAATGAAAGAAAATACTTTTTTTACATCATAAAAAGAATACTCATTTTGTTGCAATAAAAGAAAATACTTTTTCTACATCATAAAAGAAAATAATCTTTTTGTTGAAATAAAATAAAATTTTTTTTACTATATCATTTTGTTGAAATAAAAAGAAAATACTTTTTTTACATCATGAAAAGAAAGTACTTTTATTTTGTTAAAATGAAAAAATATACTTTTTTTATTTCAACAAAATGAAAATACTCATTTGTTGAAATAAAAGAAAAAAGTATGCTATCTACAACATGAAAAGAAAGTACTATTAATAATATTTCAATTTAGGGAAGGGGTGGGTGGGAGTTGGGGCAAGTGGGTGGGGCGAGGGGTGGGATTGGGGTGGGGTGGGTAGGTGGGGGCGGGTTGATAGTGATTGGGAATAGGGTAGGGAAGGTTGAAAAGAAGTTTTGGAAAATGTTTCCCTTCTCTTGATAGGGAAAATATTTTCCTCCAATTGGTGGAAGATGAGTTCATGAGGAAAATATTTTTCGAAATATTAAGCCAACCCAAACATGAAAAAATTAGAAAATATTTTTCAAAAAATATTTTTCTTCGTACCAAACACGCCCTTAATAATCAAATCCTTGGTTTAGATAATCATTTAGGTCTCATTATGAAAGGAAAAAAATTTATCTTAAATCTCAATAGATAGGCATACGGTCTTTTCACAATGTTTGCTTCCATACGTTGCTTGAGCAAAACCACCTTATGCTTCAACTTTCTCGACTTTCTTTGATACTAAAGACCAAGCTAGCGTTTGACTGAAGTTTGGTTTGAAGATGAATATGTGTTTGAACTTAAGTTTTCAAAATAGATTTCACTTTAAAAAGAAAAAAAATGAAACATGACTTATATCTACAAGTTCACAAATAACAACAGTACCTTTATCAATAACGTTCATTATATTATCGCAAATCACAGTCCTGAACATAAATAAATTTGGTACAAAATTATCATTTTTATAATGAACTACATAATACACCATCAGATGACCGAGAAGACGAAGCAGCATTGTTACAAAATAATAATGGTGGGCTCTTTTATAAAATACAAAAGTTTGGCAATTTTTAAAAAATATAATAGTGATATTTTGGGCCCTGGTTTTAGATTTCTGGAATTTTCCAAAATGTAGATAAAATCTATGGCCAAACATGTATTTGCAAAAAAAAAAATCAAGTATATTTTGGCAAAATCTATTGCCAAACGGGTCCCAAATCACTCATTTCTTTTGGCTCATCGGCATGCTTCAACTCGTCTGTTTTGTGTGCTTACATTTGAACTTGATCAAGCCCAACTATTCCTTATAAAATAAACTTAGTCGTCATTATAAATATAATCCGGTTCACGAGTCCGTAGTCGAATCCCATAGGGAATTAACCTATTAACCATCATTATTCGTCTCACACGAATTCAAGTAACCAATCTCCAGAAGTTGCAAATATCACATTGTTGGTCTTTTAAGATTAAAAATGAGTAATGAGAATGCAGTAAACAATCAATAATAAAACTAAGTGTTATAAACAAGAACGAGAAGGCCTAGAGCTTGATTTCCCCCATTTATCAGAACCTTCCCACTATATTCCTTATAATTTAGCCTAGTTATTCTCTACGGATTGTGAGCACTTTATTTACCGTAATTCTCTCTCAAGTAACTATGCAATTTACTAGACACACTCTCTCAAATTCCGCTAGTTTTCTTTTTTTTGCCGCTCACTATGATCACGTCAAGGTTTCGTTATCCCTGTGATGACCCAAAAGGTTATCACTTGCTTTTAAATTAAATTCTGTGTTTCGAGGCATTAAAAACCTCTTTTATCTTTACCTCGATTTGCGTGCGCAGCCCGGGCGTGTAGCCGGAAAGCTGTTATGTGAAAAATCTGTGAAATATTGAAATTTTTACTTAAAATACATTTAAGTTGACTTCGGTCAATATTTTTGGTAAATGGAGCCGGACCCAAACCCGGACCCGTGATTTGACGGTCCCGGAGGGTCCGTAAAAAAATATGATACTTGGGCGTATGCCCGGAATCAAATTCCGAGGTCCCAAGCCCGAGAAATGAATTTTTAAAGAAAATTATTTTCTGAAATTGTTTAAAGGATTTTGAAATGAAATTTGATCCTGGTACAGGTCTTATATATAATTTAAGATGATTCTGTGAAATTTGGTGAGAAACGGAATCCGTTTGACGTGATTCGAGCCTAAAATGCAATCTCGGGTGAGTTTCGAGTAGGTTCCGGGTGTTTAAAGTTAGGAAAAATACTGCTGTTCACCAGTTCTGGTGTAACCGCACCTGCGGTTCTTGGGCCGCAGATGCGGACTCGCAGGTGCGAGAAGTGCATCGCAGGTGCAGCAGCCTTCGCAGATGCGGGAAAAGTTCCGCAGAAGCGGTTCCGCAGGAGCGGATTTATTCCTCGCAGATGCGGCCCCTGTGGGCCAAGTCATTTTCGCTGAAGCGACCATTTTTCCGCACGTGCGGTTGCGCAGATGCGACCCACGAGTCGCAGATGCAGAAGTCGGGCAGTGAGTCTTTTAAAAACATAACTTCAGCGATTTTTCTTTCAAATTTTCACAAAAATAGAAGAACTAGGGCGATTTTCTCAAGAGATTTTCTTCCC